AGTTGCTGCTTTTTGTTTTAATAAATATCTAGTAGTTTTTAAATGGGAAAGTTTATCACCTTATTTTTTAAATGTTTCTATAGAGTGCTGCCTTATCTCGAGACACAACATCGTGAAGTAGTCCCAGTAGCGCATATAAACACAATAATTAGTCCACCGGAATTAGATAAAAAATTATTTTAAAACAAAAAAATTTGGTACAGCATAGAAACTCAGATAACAAAGAAGTTTTTGACTTCTTTTAACAAAATGTCACTATGCGCAGAGGTGAGAACGATCGGAAGAAGGTATTACACAGGGTGTTTCCTAATTACGCTACGAAACTTTAGAAGGTGATTTCTTAGGATGCTTTATGAATAATGAAAAAAGTTTCATTTTTGAGATTAAAGTTAAAAAGTCTATATTTTTATAAATATTATAAATATCCTAAAACCGATTTGGTTGAAATTTGGTAGTTATTTGAAGTAATAAGACGCTTATTTAGCCCTAACTAGATTGAAATTATTGGGGCCAGTGGCGTCTCAGTGGGCAACAAAGCCAGTGTTTTTAATATAAAAAGTATGCCACTGACTTTTTGTAGTTTTTGTATTTTTTCAGATGAAGCAACTAAAAATATAACTTTTGAGATTTCATGAGTATTACAGATTATCAATAACGGGAAAGGTCCATTTGAATACTTAAAAGTCGAAATATATATATACAACTTAAATTTGGCAACATTGTTTTCAGATGATTGTTGTTAGTCCTAATGTAAACACTTACGTTTTATGTGTGTTACAACTTTTCTTTCTGATGATACCTCCTGTAGATCCTAGCTTTGTGCGCTAGATAGACTTTTTCTTATTTGTTGGGACCAATTTTCCCAATTTTTTAAAAATTTTCAGCATCCATAGACTTTCAGTTAGTAGAGATACAATATTTTCACCTTCTATTAAACCTTTAGGTTGATTCATATAGATGGATGATTTCTTGACATTAAACCTCTTACTACCAGCCTTGCTTTGTATTTTTTCTTCCGTTAATATCCTTTTTTTTATTGCAAAAACCCATTTGCAGTCTAAAATGTTAGCTTTTTCCTGAGGTTTCTGTAATACCCCCGTCTTATTTTTGGTTAGCGATATGATTTCATTTTCAATAGCAGTTTTCCATTTATTCGATTTATCTGTGGAATTTTTAGATCAGTAATCATGGCTGAAAAATAATTTGGCTTCTTAATTTGAGATCTGTTTCTGAGATTATGTCTTTGATCTCTTTCCTTTTCCTCCGTATTTACTGCTCTATCTTCTACGCTCTCAGAATTTTCATCAGCTTGTGACTGGGTGCCGTTTGTTAATGTTATTTTGTTATCAGTCGCAAATTCGTTTTCAATAGAAAAAGAAATAAAATCTTTCTGATCTCCGCTTTCTTCTGTAGAAGTTTCGGTCTCATCAAAGCTAACGTTGGCACTCACATAATATACTTTTCGATTTTCTGCATTCTGAAGGCTATAGTTAGAAAAATTCTTTTCATATCCAGTAAATAACACCTTTTTACTTTTGGGCTCCTAATTTCTCTTAATTCTTTGGAAACATGCGTATATGATATAGTACCAATCGTTCTCAGATGATGAATATTTGGTTTTCTATCATGCCCTCTCATAAGCAGTCATTCCATTAAGCTGTTTGGACAAAATTCTATTAAAAGTGTCTACAGCTATGTGGCCTCAGCCCATAGTTCCACAGGAACATTTTTTGCGTGCACTATCGAACGGGCGGCACTCTGTTATTTTCTGCAGTGGGATTCTCATCTTTCAATACAGCATATATTAAGACGCATATCTTCCTTCAACAGACTGCGATTCTTATATACTGTCTCTCTATCTCTCTATCTTTTTATCTCTCTATCTCTCTATCTATCTCTCTATCTCTCTATATCTCTATCTCTCTATCTCTCTATCTCTCTATCTCTCTATCTCTCTATCTTTCTATCTCTCTATCTCTCTATCTCTCTATCTTTCTATCTCTCTATCTCTATATCTCTCTCTCTATCTCTCTATCTATCTCTCTATCTATCTCTTTCTCTCTTTCTCTCTATCCCTCTATCTCTCTATCTCTATCTCTCTATCTCTCTATCACTATATCTCTCTATCTCTCTCGGGACAATTTTGCAGGTCGGGCCCCGGGACAATTTTGCAAGTCGTGTCCCGCGACAATTTTATAAAATAATTAAGCCTCTTCAATATCACATTTCTAAAGAAAAAAAGTTCTTCAAGCAAAAACTTCTCCTCTTCAAAGAAAAGCAAAAAAAGGTCCTCAAGCAAAAACTTCTAGAAGTAAAACAAGCCCTCTTTGTGCTCTTGTGGCGAACATCTAAAAAAATAAAAAACGTCCTCTCCTAAAGCTGTCGGGCCCCCTTATATCGCTGCCGGCCTCCACTTGAGCCCGGGCCCCGGGAATTAGTCCCGGCTACCCCCTCCTCTTGTCGACCCTGGTCGAGTTCGCACATAAGAATCCCTGTACTGATCTTCCTTTCTGATCGTCCTTTCTGTTTATGGCTGCAAGGAGCAGAAGTTTCAATAAAAATACCCTTCTGGTGACAATAATCCTTCATTTGTTTATTTAGAAACACTGGTCCACTGTTACATCGCAGGATCTCAATATGTGTTGTAATTGCATTCAACATGTCCTATCTGCTAAATACTAGGTAGACACTCCCTGTATAAACCTCCTCTTTTAGCAAACAAAAATAATAAAGTACTGAATAGTCACTCCCTGTATAAACTAATTATCTAAACTTGAAACAACACGCTTGACTTTCAAATGACCGCCAGACACCTGTTATGTCGCAAAGATACCTTCGCAAACAATTAATATGATCAGGTACGCAAACATGCGATCTGGACCGGCCAATGAGAAAAAAGCCGGTAAACCGTCGCGGGCCAGCGAGCTTGCATCGGAAAGAACAACTAACCACTTTCGTTTCGTCAAAAATCTTGTCAACGCCGGCAGCAAGCCGAAATTTAAGTTAAAGCATTTGTGCGATTTGATTTAAAAAGTTGTAACATGTAATCAATTAATAATTTATGTAACCAAGTATTAATATGTAAAATGTGGAATCAGTAAGCCGTGAATATATCAAATTCAAATATAAGGTGATAGTTTCATTTGAATAAAATCAGTGCATCAATCAGAACTTCGAGAGTATCTTCCAGAGGCTACAGGGTGGAGCATAAGGCCTTCACCCCAGGTAAAATATTTCGAACATAGTCATACAGTCCACCAAGATCGAAGGCAGTAAATGTCAAGCCTTATAAAAACCCAGGGTAAGACGATGAATTACTTTTTCACTCGTTGAATATCGCTTATTTATGACGTTAAAAGTATACAGTTCTAAAACCAGCGTTCCGATTGCTTCTCGAAGTGGTGCGTTTGTCTCTATATGGCCAGCGCTAGACTTCATACCGCGGACAAGGAGTAAACAGGGAACAGAGACGGCTTTCGCGTCACAGTATTCTCAACACAACTCTGCTTTCGGACGACTTGAAGATGGGAAGCTTCTTCGAGATTGTTTTCCAGGTTGACACCCTTCACAAAATAATTCAGTAGAATCATCTAAAGAAGCACCTTCAACAGCTCCATTAGGATAGCATTCCTAATTGCATTGGTTAAGTGAATTTCAAAAATACATTATTTTCCAAATATCTTCCCTTACGATAAAGATTTTGAATTAAAAATATGTATGTTAGTTAATCCTCATTATTAGTATACACTATCTTTCGATAAATTACGATAACCCATTGTGGTAGAATCAAGGGTTAAGAAAACAATTTTTAACATATCTAGTATTATATTCGTTTACTCAATGTTGAAACTCCATAGCCAAATTTCCTGATTTTACATATTTTTCTATGAAATAAAACTGCGATCGTAGGAAAAACAATGTACAATACTTGTGTAAAAGTGTTTTTTCGCACTGGTAATATAATATACCATTGCTTCAGTAGTTATTTATTTAGTTATTGAAAGTGGATAAGTGAAAACAATAGATTTGAGATATTAAATAAATGATGAATCTTACGCGAATAACATACAGGATGATAATAATATAATAAATAATAAGTTTATTTACTGAAATAAATACATTACAAAACACAAATAAAAAGGTACAATTCATAATATCAGTAAACAAATAAATTCTGGCAATAAGACTGAGACGTGAATGCAGATTTAAGTTGTTTTGTGTTTGATGAAGTAACGATAATTTTTTCACGACCTTTAACGAACTCCAGGATGGAACTTCTATCTGAATTTAGTATTAGAACCAAAATAGTAAAGGGCCAAATATTATTTTTACATAACGGGCAAAGGGACCAAATAGTTTTACACTGGCAAGTATAGGAGGCAAATATCCCAAATATTTTTACATGTGCAGGCATAAAGAGCAAAAGGCTCAACAGGCAGGGGTAGAGACAAAATAATTTTATATGGCAGGCTTAAAGATTAACGAGACCAAATATTTTTAGATAAACAGGCTTAAGACGTAAAGGTCCCAAATATTTTTACCAGGGCTAATGAATATCATTTACGTGGTTTAGCGTAAATAACTCCAATGCTTCACAAACCTGAAAATTCAACATCTTATTACACCTCATCGTCTTTTGATCTTTCGTTCAAAATCAAATTGATGCTCGTTTCTTTTATGCTACGAGTTTGCCAGTGCCTCAGTCTCGATAAGATGCAAAACACCAATTTAGCAACTCTCGAATTTCTTGGTTGCGTGAGTGGAGCTTGGTAGATCAACTAGATGTCAGATCTTCCATGGGACCAATTGTACTTTTTACATGCTAACTGAAGTGTGTATCACTTTGTATTAGCATATTTCGATGTTTTAAATAAAATACATATTACATACAACTAATTCTTTATTGTGACAAAAATTTCACAAAAAAATTCCACAAATGAAAATTACTGTCGTAGTAAAAGTAGAGAAAATCCACAATATTTTTAAAATAATTATAATATATTCCTTAACTTTATAACATCTACTATAAAAATGATATCAAATTCAAATTGATAAACATGAGGACAACATAGGGTTGCCAATAATTTCTGAGATCATAAATGTAGAAAATCTGTTTAAATATAAACTTTGTCAAATAGGATATTTTTACAGGATAAAAAATTGACTTCTTCTTTCGATACGCTATTAACCACAAAAGATCAGTCAGATTTACGCTATATAATATGTAATACATATTCCATATACAAATTTATTTTTTACAGATTTTTTGTATTCTGTTCAAAACATTTCCAGACACCTGTTAAATATTTTTGTTTTAAAATTATAGGTTGCAAAAGCATTAATCGGCAGTAAGGTTAGGTTACTGAATAAAATAGCAGGCGACTGCAGTAAATTAACTTTTTTCATAATTAATAATATTCTCCATTTTTATGATGTGTTTATTTTGTAGCCCCTTGAAAATGTTTAATTTTTTTTTTATCAAATAATGAACCGCTTGCATAAATATTAACAATCTCAGTAATTCTCATATTATATACATTTTGCTTGATAATCTTAAAATATTATTCATTTGTAATCTATCTTCTTGAATATCTATTACCCGCTTCGTATCTATCTTTGTAAGGTCCAGCAGGTCTACCTTGTTGCTGATCCCTGTCATTTCTTCCTCCTTGATTACGATAATTGCCCTGATTACCACCATAATTATTATTGTAATTATTGTTGTACTGCCCAGTCTGATTATAATTTTGTTGCTGGTATGACGATCCTCTGTTGTCAAACGACCTTTGGTTGTAGTTGCCACGGTAATCTGAAACAAGAGATACAGGTATTATACCACCGTCCCAATATGGATTTCATGAAATTTAATATTGTTAAATAATATTTTTAAAGGAGTCGATAAAAAAATTATAGCAGCGTTCTTTTTATTAAATAAAATATATTTATAAATATACCGTAAATGAGTTGCCTAACAAAATACGGTCCAGACTATTTATTTTCTTAAAGTAAAAAAAAACGACACCCTGTAAAGTATTTCCCAGATGCTTCGATTAGGCCCAAACATTAATCTGCTCACTGCAGAATGGATTAAAGCCTAAGTTTAAAATTTGGTGTTTTTCTTTTCATCTGTTTTTGAATTATCTTCAAAATTCGAAATTTGCACTTTTCCTCAAATATCTCGAATTAGGTCAATTTTAGGGAAATCATGTATAGGAACAAAATAATAGAGAATAAGCAACTTTTATCATAATTTCTATACTTTCCTTATCTGTACACAGAAAGGAAAGTAAAAAATGACCGTGACCGTATTTTCTTAGGCAACCCATTTGGGGTATATTTAAAAACATATTTTATTTAATAAAAGAAAACTTTTATCCATTAAACAGATGGGTGAAGGTCGACCTTACTTACGGATCCTATAAACATAGGTCCGAAAACGTTTCGTTTTCGAGATACAGAGTGTTACAAGTGAAGTCCTGATGGCACATTTTTGTAAATAAAAAAAAAAAAATAAAATTTCTGATTCCACAGGCCTACTGATTATTATTTACACTTTCGAATAAGATAACACCAACTTATCATGAAATTTTCAAATGCTTTTCTCTTGAAAATTGTGCGTCTTAGCGAGGTACAACAAAAGTAGCTTTATTATAAAGTAAATATTGGTTTTCCAAATTTTGTAGTCAAAAATGTTAAAAACAGTCAACAAAAGGGTTTGATTGAAGTTAGTGATTTCTAAATTGAATATTTTTTCTATAAAAAGATTTGCGGAAAATACTTCAGGTTATATTAATATAGTTATTTTAAAATAATTGTATTTGGGTTTTGATTATAAGAAGTTTTTGGCAAATATTTTAGATTTTTAAAATTTATTACGAAAATTATAATTATTTCAAAATAATTTTAATTGTTTGATTAAATACGGGATAGTACTAAATTAAATTTTAGATATAAGAAGTTTGGGGGCAATTACTAGAGGTTATTTGAATTTAATAGATACATTATAATTCCTTTGACATAATTTTAGTTATGGTTTTAAAAAATCTGATTTAATATTGATTTATATATTGTAAGAAAAATATTATTATTAATAATATATCAATATGATTATGACAGATATTTATTATTGTTGATTATGATTGATGATTATTTATTTAATTTTTATTTATTTTTATTTATTTTTATTTATTTTTATTTATTTTTATTTATTTTTTTTTTATTTTTTTTTTATTTTTAGTTATTTTTATTTATTTTTATTTATTTTTATTTATTTTTATTTATATTTTTTATTTTTATTTATTTTTATTTATTTTTATTTATTTTTATTTATTTTTATTTATTTTTATTTATTTTTATTTATTTTTATTTATTTTTATTTATTTTTATTTATTTTTATTTATTTTTATTTATTTTTATTTATTTTTATTTATTTTTATTTATTTTTATTTATTTTTATTTATTTTTATTTATTTTTATTTATTTTTATTTATTTTTATTTATTTTTATTTATTTTTATTTATTTTTATTTATTTTTATTTATTTTTATTTATTTTTATTTATTTTTATTTATTTTTATTTATTTTTATTTATTTTTATTTATTTTTATTTATTTTTATTTATTTTTATTTATTTTTATTTATTTTTATTTATTTTTATTTATTTTTATTTATTTTTATTTATTTTTATTTATTTTTATTTATTTTTATTTATTTTTATTTATTTTTATTTATTTTTATTTATTTTTATTTATTTTTATTTATTTTTATTTATTTTTATTTATTTTTATTTATTTTTATTTATTTTTATTTATTTTTATTTATTTTTATTTATTTTTATTTATTTTTATTTATTTTTATTTATTTTTATTTATTTTTATTTATTTTTATTTATTTTTATTTATTTTTATTTATTTTTATTTATTTTTATTTATTTTTATTTATTTTTATTTATTTTTATTTATTTTTATTTATTTTTATTTATTTTTATTTATTTTTATTTATTTTTATTTATTTTTATTTATTTTTATTTATTTTTATTTATTTTTATTTATTTTTATTTATTTTTATTTATTTTTATTTATTTTTATTTATTTTTATTTATTTTTATTTATTTTTATTTATTTTTATTTATTTTTATTTATTTTTATTTATTTTTATTTATTTTTATTTAGTTTTATTTATTTTTATTTTTTTTTTAATTTTTTTATTTATATTTATTTATTTTTTTAATTTTTATTTATTTTTATTTATGTTTGAATGTATTTTTATTTCTCTTCCCATACAAACTTTCACCCCCCGTTTCTACACCCTTAAAATATGAAAATCCAAAAACCCGTAAATATGTCATAGCTACAATTAAAATTTTCAAGTTTCTACCTTTAACAAATCTATTTTCCCATACAAACGTTCACTACCCCGTTTCCTCCCCTTAAAGTGTGAAAATCCTCAAACCTTGAAACACGTTATTATTTATTTACGCTCAGTAATTGTATTTAAAATGTTCATGTTTTTAACTTCAAAGAACAAAGACTCATACAAAGCTTGCTCCCCATTTCCCACCTTTAGAATTAAAATTTCCGAAAATCCTTTCTTAGCGGATGCTTACGTTATAAAATATACCTATCTTCCAAATTTCAGCTTTCTAGACCTAGAAGTTTTGGCTGTACATAGATAGGTCAGTCAGTCAGTCAGTCAGTCAGTCAGTCAGTCAGTCAGTCAGTCAGTCAGTCAGTCAGTCAGTCAGTCAGTCAGTCAGTCAGTCAGTCAGTCAGTCAGTCAGTCAGTCAGTCAGTCAGTCAGTCAGTCAGTCAGTCAGTCAGTCAGTCAGTCAGTCAGTCAGTCAGTCAGTCAGTCAGTCAGTCAGTCAGTCAGTCAGCCAGTCAGTCAGTCAGTCAGTCAGTCAGTCAGTCAGTCAGTCAGTCAGTCAGTCAGTCAGTCAGTCAGTCAGTCAGTCAGTCAGTCAGTCAGTCAGTCAGTCAGTCAGTCAGTCAGTCAGTCAGTCAGTCAGTCAGTCAGTCAGTCAGTCAGTCAGTCAGTCAGAACAAATGCTTTTATATATTTAGATGATTTAGATGACTATTCTTATGTGTGGTTTCGAAATAAATACAAAGCCTTCCTGAATTATAAAAAATATTGGCAACACTGTTGGACGTAAATTAATATGTTAAATGAAATAAAAATAATCTTTTGGACGTAAAATAGTAATATATGGATGCAAGATAGATAGTAATATAAAAGGAGTCAAAATGGTCGGAAAAAAATACGTATACCGGGTGTTCAAATTAAAGTGTTACAGCTATATACCGCCTTTTATAAAAAACAACGTTTCAGACGAAAGTTTTATAGTTTTGTGGGAAAAAATGTTTGTCTAAAATCGTTTTTTATAGCTAACCATAATATGGCCAACTTTTTTTTCGCCCAGCAAAATTTTCAAGTAGCTGTTACTCAAAAAGTAAAAGTCCAATAAAAAAAATATTTTCATCAAAACTTTCTTTCTCTTTTTTTATGTACTTTAAGAATATGTAAAAAAATGTGATTCCCATTTAAAAAACCAAAGTCCACCTCGATATGGCCATATTATGGTCAGCTATAAAAAAATTAATTTAGCCAAAATGTTTCCCCCAAAAAACTATAAAACTTTTGTCTGAAACTTTTTTTTCTAAAATGCATATTTTCGGCGGTATTTAACTGTAACCCTTTAATTTGAACACCCGGTATATTTTTTTAACGATATGGTCATAAAATAGTAGTTTGTGCAACAAGAGTGGATATGGACAATCCACTCGAGTTGTACAGAATATTTTTTCTACGACCCACTAAAGAAAATTTACAAATAAAAAAATATTTTAGGTTATTAAAACAAAATAACTTATAATAATGAATAATTTATAAATTTTACTGATTTTTAAAATCAAATAAATATAAAAAAAGACTATAAAATTCATAAATATCCTTTTTTTTTAACAATTCTTCGCAAATCTAACTGTTTTTATCCCACTAGAGGACACTGAAATAAAAGTAACGTAATTAACAGTCACAGTTCTGAATTCCCCTAAATTATGTTTTGGACCGGGAGCCGCTGCCCCAAATTACCTCATAAATTATAAAATGTTTGACTGTCAGATTAGATGTGGACAGAACATCATTTAAGAAATGTTTGTCTTGCATCTTACCCCCTGTTACTAAAAATGATCGCTAAAAATGACTGCTAAAAATTATTGCTAAAAATGATTACTAAAAACGTTAGAGCCATTATCAAAATAAATATTCAACTATTTTCGATTACTTAAAAATAATCGATTCTTTATAATCCTTCTTCCTAAGATTATTTTTGATTAATCGATTCTTTTCGATTAACCAATTCTTTTTGATTAACCGATTATTTTCGATTAATCGATTCTTTTCGGTTAATCGATTTTTTCGCGCGAACTCGCGTCCATACACGAAAGCACACTCGCACACGCACACTCGCGCACGCACGCACGCGCACGCATACACACAAATTTTTAATAAAATTATTTCAATTTTATTTATGAATAGTTCAGTGTATAACACTGAACTATTCATTCCACTTTCATCTCACTATTAGTGTGTACATCAAACCCAGTCTGCTTATTTGTAAATTAGTTAGCTATACACTTTACCATTTTTTTTTTTGTGATTAGGTTGGTTCTAAAATGTTATTTCAGTACAATATTTTTGATTGTCGATTGGAAAAGTCTCTAATTGTTGTTTATCTAAATTAATAATTTTTTAAAAGTATTTCATCAATCGGAACGATCTATTTTCACTAGCACGATGGCTGTTCGAA